GTGCATTGGAAGCAGGCACGTGCTTGGCATGAACAGTGCGGATTTGGTTTTTGTGCGGGCTGGGTTCTGTTTTTCAGCAGGGTTTGGGGATAATAACCGGAGCCCCTCTACTTACACGTTTGGGGGTAACGCATGGTTTGCAACTTGCAGACGGGCGAACGAAGCCGAAAATTGAGCAGACTTCGGATTCCGCAAGACTACGCCATATGGGTGTTTTTCAGGGGACCCCTATCGGAAACCAACAGGAGGTTGTTTGGTAGCAGTGGTGTAAAGCATGGTTTAAACGAGAAGTTCAATCGCCCAGCTCTCTTCTTGGTGCTGGGCTCAAAGCGTATTACAGGTTTGGCGACAAAGACCTATTCGTGGAAGCGCAAATTGCAACAACGCCCGCCCCTTAGAGCGGATGAGGTGGGGACACTGGAGCGCATAGTGTTGCAGAGCATTTCCTGTTTGTTGGGAGACCAGGTGGCGGCCGGCTTCATGTTGTACATGTTTTTTGCGAGGGCACGGTTTTCAGACGCTCAGAGTGTTGCATCCCTTCAGCAGGATGTGGTATCGACTGACGGCTGGCAGGAAGGTTATGTAGAAGTGTTGGTGGGGTTACCTATGGTACTTCCTATTCGGGGTCTTGAGCAACAGCCGTGGGCTTTGACTTGGATTGCAACTCTCAAGAAGGCCAACCTCCCTGTGCAACAGGACTTGCCTCTCCTTCCGGCCCCGGCAGCAGGTAGAGGGAAGTGGCATCGTGTACCTATTACAGCCGAGGCTTGCTCGGTATGGTTGAGAGCTCTGCCCTGTTTTGGCATCGAGTTTTACAACAACTGAAGCCTTGAGCCACGACGTTAGCAATTTGCAGACGAATGAGCAGTGGACGTATTTGCAGATCCTCCGTTGCTTTGCATTTTTCTGTTTATTCGTTGGCATGGTGGTTTGCTTTTACTTTGTGCATAGATTGAGATTGGAGGTGAATTCTCTGCAGATGATGGTGTACGAATACGCATACCGAGTTTCAGACTTGGAGGGCAGAGTGACATTGGTGAAGACACCAGTGAAGATGCAGATGCAGGCAGAACAAGCAGTTCAGGATATGCTTGATCAGGTGAGCCATCATGGTGCAACAACACGTGGCACTGCAGAGTTTTTCAGCGGAGAAGGATTCAGACTGAGCGAAGACTCGCCAGATGTGACCAGCGCGCATTTCGTGGATTTGCAAGATGGCGAGCTACGACTAGTGATTCGAGATGCCAGTCCTGACAGATCATGAGACTTGAACACGACCTTGTACATAAACGTGTACTTGCAGTTGCCTCGTCATGAACAGTATGACTTGATACGCATGATGGACCCTGCGTGAATTCTTCCAATGCGTATCTTGTCGTGACGCTCGCCGCATGAGCACCCCCTTCTCTCAGAGGAGTGGGGGCATCCTCCCCAGGGGGATGCAGCTCTTGCAAGAGTCACGTCAGGTGCGCCTTGGAGGGGCAAATGCAGTCATGGGCAGACACATATAAGAAGAGAAGGATACAAGTGTAAGAAAGAGACAATAACACTCAGGTGTGTGGAAGTATATCTATATATATATATATATATATATGAGAGAGCGCCCATAGTTTATACGGCGTGATTTCTTCCAATGGGCAGACACGTACAAGTAGAAAAACAGACAAGTGTAAGAAAAGATGATGACACTCAGGTGTGTGGAAGTATATCTATACATATATGAGAGAGTACCCATAGTTTATACGGCGTGATTTCTTCCAATGGGCAGACGCGTGCAAGTAGAAAAACATACAAGTGTAAGAAAGAGACGATGACACTCAGGTGTGTGGAAGTATATCTATAAATATATATATATGAGAGATTACCCATAGTTTATACGGCGTGATTTCTTCCAATGGGCAGACGCGTGCAAGTAAGAAGAGACAAGTGTAAGAAAGGGACGATGACACTCAGGTGTCTGGAAGCATATATGTATATATATATATATGAGAGTACCCATAGTTTATACGGCGTGATTTCTTCCCATGGGCAGACACGTACAAGTAGAAAAAAGATACAAGTGTAAGAAAGGGACGATGACACTCAGGTGTGTGGAAGTATATCTATATATATGAGAGAGTACCCATAGTTGATACGGCGTGATTTCTTCCAATGGGCAGACACGTACAAGTAGTAAAAAGATACAAGTGTAAGAAAGAGACGATGACACTCAGGTGTATGGCAGTATACCTATATATATGTATAATGGATTGAAGATTTCCAGAACAAGTGGTCTGAGAATCTTGAATCTTCAATCTTCAATCCAGGATGTGCTAGCACGTGCTAGCGCATCCTGGATTACTCTAAGTACATATTTGGAGAATTCAGAAAGAGTTGTCAGAGATTCTTGAATCTCCCATCCAGATCCTGGATTGCCGTAAGTGCGGATGTGAAGAATCCAAAAGGCAGACCGGGAGTGCACATTGTCAGAACCAAAATGTGGATGTGCACTTGCACTGCCTGCAATTGGCCAGGGGGAAAAATGTTGCTGACACCTTTGCATTTTTTGTGGACTTGAGGGCTGGCTAGGATGGAAGATTCTCAAATAGAAAATCTGCTAGATCTTCAATCTTCAATGCAGGGGGCGAAACCTTGATGAGTCTAGAACAAGCTGTCAAGTTTTTGGGGGACCAGGATTGAGTACATTCTAAACATATGTTTGTGGAATCTTGTATATTCGATGTTCGACCCAGGGCAACACGATCTGAGCAAATGCTGAAAAACACCGCGTTTTACAGCATTTATGCAAAGAATAAGATCTATGATACACGTTCCTGTCATTGGCTTGGCTCAGATCTTGCTTGGTTCAAACCACATGGAGTTCGAAGGACAAGAACCCTTTCAAAATTGAGTTTGATTCCAAATTTGTTTGGCCATGACAATAGCTATCTTCTCCAGTTGATTTTTGAAATGCGCAAGGAACTGCAAACGAGTAAACTTGAATTTGGTTTGAACGCGACACGTTTTTTTTTTTTAAACTGGGTATTTTCCCCTTACTTGAATTTCAATAGTTGTTAGTGGCGATGATGGAACCAACTTAGACAAGCAACACACACACGTGGGATAGTTGCTTTGCAACATATGTTTCAATTAGACTGAACTAGCATGTCAGGAATTATGCACAACACTCGAGTTAACATGTAAATGCAACTGCGCAAGGACATGAATTAGGAACGAGTTTTTTGTCCCCGAGTTCATGTTTTGCTGAGTTTCGCTGCCAAACAAAAAGAAAAAACACCAAATAATAGGGCTGCTACAGGCGCGTTGAAGCTGCCAAAACATACTTTGCGCACTGCTGCCAAATTGCACTTTGCGTACTCCAATGTGACTTTAAGTGCACTTCGCGCACGCCAATGTGACGGTCACACAACTCGCAACTCCTAATCAACGTTGAGCTTAACTTCTGCTTGGTTAGGATTTGCATGGAGTTGAGTGTCCAGTTCATTTCAGAGTCTCAAGGCATTTGTTGCCCCCAGTCTGGCCAAAAACCTCAGTTCTGTCCAAAAACCTGAGTATTTCAAGGGGGGTAGCATATATATATATATACATGCTTGGAGAAGCATCTCTGTTTTGGGAGGCTTCGGCTATGCGACCGGCATATCCATTTGGGAAGATGACGAGGCCGCGCGAAGCCGGCTGCAAAGCTACAAACATGCCGTTGCGCAGCGGCGCAGTTGCGCAGCGCGAGGAAGATGTTCAGCAGTGGCACTTGCGCGGCCTGGCCCCGCACTTAGAGCCCGTGGGCTTCACAGGGTTCCCATAGGTCTTCGCATAGGTTTTCGGGGAGAAGGGAGGGCGAGACAGTAACTTCACGCTTTACGGCGTTACACGGACAGAAGGATGCATGGTTGGGGCAATGCCTTTTCAAGTGTTTCATTCTAGAAACATGAAAATAAGATGCGTGAGATTAGGTGACTTGCAAGGCGGGAACATGCCACTCAAAGAACAAGACAAACAGAAAAGGAGTCCTGAGTCGAAAGTCAAGCAGAAACGCCCCCACTCGCGCGCACTTGCACGCGCGCACGCAAGGAGCTTCGCCTGGAGGGCTGCGAGACGCTGCTGCTGCAGGACTGGGCCAGGGGGTCCGACGGCTGGGGACGTGTCACATCTCCAGGAGCAAGAGGAGAGAGCTGAGGCCGAGACGGCTTTGAAGGCCAGAAATGCAGGGGACGACTGGGTCGACAGGATCGGGGAAGTATTTGTCGACAGGATTCTATAGCATGTGTGTGTGTGTGCGCGTTTGGAAAGAACGACAGCACAGAAACAGCGATGGGTCATTCATCCAGGCTCTAATTGAGAGCGGGTGCAGGCAAGACTGACATGGGCTGCAATTTAAGACATTTGCCTGGGATCAATTCAGTGGCCTTCACAAGCAGCATCAGTGAAAGTGCAAACAATGACATGCTTGACTTCGAGCTACTCATGTTTGCATCCTTGAGTGCTTGGAGAGCTGTGATCAGGCCAGACTGGAGGATGAGGCTCAGAAAGCTCAGGCGCAAAGCTTTCTGACTGTAGGAACGCTCTGACGTTAGGCCTGATGCCACCGTGAATAGCAGAATTCGCCGCCTTATGCTAGGAGCGCTTGCGGGATGAGTTGCAGTCACAGCTGCAGCAACAGGCAGGTCTTGATGATGCTTGTTGTGCACTTTGGCAGCCAGCATGGCCGGCAAGTCCGAAAATGATACCACCGTGCAAGTGAGTGTCAGGCGGCAATCTAGCTTGGCATGTTCCCTGCAGCTGCTGAGCTTCCAAACAGGGCCACATACCTGGCTTACTCTACATAAGCAAGAACGTACCATTGTTATATTGTTTTTAGCCCATATCGCTTGAGCCATTTGGATCATCTCAAAAGCAATCAAACACATATTGTCAGCGACAGCCCGAACAACACCAAACAACCATCACTGCGCAGTGCACTTGTGGGCCACATTTGACATCACCTGGCCTGATTAGCTTTCAAACAAAATTCCAAGCGTCTTTGAGCATATCCGCATTGGGGCACGTGTGCGCTTGGCACACAAGCTCGAGGCGGGCTTCACAGTTGCTGATGCCTGCCTTTGAACCAACAAGCCTGCGCGTTTCGGGAGGTCCAAAGAGGCTCTGCTTCGGTGCACCTGTGCTGGAGCTACGCTGAACAGGCGGCTCACCTAAGGGCACCACCCGCACCCTCTTTTGGCCTTAGAACAATCTCGGAGCTGGCTCCTTTGAGCAGAAAGTCGAAAGTGTGCACACTAACAAGTAAGTGCCAACAGGCGCAGAATCAGGCGTGCCTCATTCGGAAGACTCTGTTGCACGTCCTACATGTAGGGTTGTATCAGGCCAGCAAAGAGCTCTTTACTGCTTGCGAGTGATTGCATGCTTGGGATGCTGCATGCCCTGACAGGCGTGAGCAATGACCGACATGAGCAGGGAGGAGATTTGCTTCACGGCAAAGCTGTTGGCGTTGAAATGTTTAGATCAGATTGCTCGGAGCCTGCCGGTTGTTGCAAGTGCCCAGCATCAAGCCTTGAGGGCGTCCCTTGGACGCTTGACCACGCAGAACTCACCGTGGCCAGAGATGGGCGTGGGTCAAAATTTTCACCACCAGAAAAACCGCAGGTTTTAGGCCGTTCCATTTACCGGGGCAAGCTAGTTCCATTTACCGGGGCAAGCTATTTTGGGTACCCATTTGGCTGTGGCTCAAAAACCGGTGCCAAAATGGAACCCTGGCAAGTGGACCAAAATTCCAGCGGTTTGCCCCTCCTGCTTAGTTCTGAGCCACGCCCATTTCTGCCCCACCTCCAGCTGACCTCCTCGGCCCGAAGACGTGAGGCTCGCAGCTGCGGCAGGCGCTGGAGCTGCGGCGCAAGTACTGCGCGCCGCTGCAGAAGCAGCCGGGGCGCCCGAGACGTCACCGGGGGGCCGGGGAAAGATGCGGGGTCCATGGGTGCGCTTGAGCTGCACGAAGAGGTGTTTGGAAGGTTCTGAAAGATGAAATTTTGACTGGTGAAGGGTTGCTGATGTCAGTGGCTAGTTGGCCAGATGCTTGTTTTTGTTGACCGACCTGAGTCTCCCCGAGCTGGCTGCAGCAGGTCATCCTTCCCTAGTTCCTCCGGGCTGGAGCTCAACTGGAAGGATGGACTGATGCAGGTGTGAAGCCTGGCAGCAAATCTCAGACACGATTTGGCCGGTGGCAAAACCAGGAATTGATTGCGGGTTCTCGTAGCACTGCTATGATGCACCTGCAAACAACCTTCAATGTAGTGCGTGGCTTGCTCAAAAGGGGGTTGCGACCATAGAGCTTACAAACATAGGTTGTAAAAAGGGCTTGCATAGGTTCTTCCTTTAAATGATGAGTCGAGCCGGCAGCACTCCGCCATCCTGACAAATCTTGTGCAGTAGCAAAGTTGGAGTTACAGGCCTGGAGCCCTGCATTTAGGCCTCTCTGAGCGGCAAGCGACACTTGCTGTATGTTTGCACATGCCAAATCCTTGTTCATGCTATGTTGGTGCTTCAGGCGAGAAGAGCAGCGAAACACCGCTGCTTCAAGTTCCAAGCTTAGACGAGTACTACAGCGACATGAGCCCTGTCTCCACGCGCACGCACAGATGCCAAAGCTCGTTACGCGCAATTTTCAGCGGGGCCCATGATGCAAACCAAGCATCAGCAAATCTCGACGCATCCAAAGGCGGACTAGTGCACCAGCTTTAACGCCTCCGGCTCAGGCCGCAGCCCCTTTGGAACTGCGCCATTGGAAGTTTCCTTTGGATGTATCTTTTCCCCCCTTGTGCCCCCTAAGACCTTTCCCCCCCCTTCCCCTAAGATCGTTTCCCCGCTTTCCAGCCCGAAGACTCCCCCTTTTCCCCCGTAAGATCTTTTCCCCCCTTTCCCCTTCTAAGATCTGTGCCCCCCTTTCCCCCCAAGATCCTTTTCCCACCTTTCCCCCCAAGATCTTTCCCTCCCTCCCCCCCTTAGATCTCTTCCCCCAAGATCGTTTCCCACCTTTTCCCCCCTAAGATCTGTTCCAGCCTTTCCCCCCCCAAGATCTTTCCCCCTTTCTCCCCCTGAGATCTTTCCCCCCTCCGATCTTCTCCCCCCTTCCCCCCCTCAGATCTTCATTTCCCTTCATGGCTGCTTACTTCCGTTTATTTCCCTTTCTCTTCAATCCACTTCATGTCCCTGATTTCCATGCATTTCCCATCATTTCCAGATTTCCTTTCTCAAGCATGGGCAACATCCACAGCATCACTTGCATCATCCGTATCCTTTGCGGACACTTGCAAAAGCGGACCTGGGGGGGAACACCTCGATGTTTTTACGCAACGCAGCGCATTCAGAGGAAAGGATAAAATCTAGGAAGCGGGAACCCTGCCCCTCGTTTGTTGTCGGCGGACATAGATTGGCTAGTGAAGACGTTTCCAAAAAGGACACTGTGCAAGCAACTTTTGCTTGTGACTCCTCTCCTTTCGAATGCAACTTAGTGTGATGCTTTGAGGCAGCACGCGCAGTGAGAGAGTAATCTACGCCCTTTGTGGGATCATTGCATTTGACTCGCTGTGTGTTACGTGCCCCACCTGCCCTGCCGCCTGACCTTGTGCCAAGGACTCAATTATTTCAGATACGATCATCTGGGCCTGTGTCCAGCTACGCGTACCAGAGGTTGAGACTGCTGCAGACAAAGTTCGAGTTGTACACCATGGCCGCTTGTTTAAAAATACAGGTGAGGTAGATGCACCTTGCAAAAAAGCACCTCTATCAGCTCTCAGAGAAAGCTTCTGATCGAAATCGTCACAGAGACTGAGGTGTTTGGGGATCAGGAGTCCCAGGATGCCATGGACACTGGGCATCGTGCGGCTTGTTGCAATCATGGTCGTGAACCAAAGTCCAATTCTTGCAACGCTGGCTTTGCGTGAACCCAAGTGTTTTTTTGTTTTTTGTTTTGTTTTTTAATTAAATGTATTTCTTCGACAATCGACACCAGTTGCATTTTGCTTCCCCAAGGATTTCTACAATGTGAGGAAAGTGGATACCCACATCCATCACTCAGCTGCGGCTTTGCTGAAGACGGTACCACAAAGGGAGTGAGCATTCTGTGTCACAATCGGGGAACCCCAAAAATGCTTTCTTTTGGTTTCCCTTCCCACTCTGAACAGGGTATCCTCGGAAAAGGGTATGCCAACCACATGGTATCATCGGGTTTGGGTGCAACATGGCACTGAAGGCTATGAATGCAAAGCACCTGCTGCGCTTCATGAAAAAGAAGTTGAAGCGCTTCCCCGAGGACATCATTGATGAGCCTTGGCTGTATGTGGCTGTGGGTCAAAAACATGGAATTCCCAAAATGGCACCTTGGTAAATGGAACCAAAGACCAGAACCTGCGCTTTGCCCCTCTTTAATTTCGAGCCACGCCTCTCGAAACTGGGGACGGTTTTAGCTCATTTGAAGGACTCGCGAATTTGGACTTCGGATTCTCTTGCAATGTTCTGGAACAGCACTCATGAGCCGGCTGTCAGGAAAAGAATGGAGAGAAGCGTACTCTCCAAAAGACCTTCGATGCTGCTCAGTTGCACCCATGTCTTGTGAGCCAGTTTGCAGAGAGGGTTTCAGCGCCTTGAATTATGCAGAGGAAGGAATATGAGGTCTACAGTCATATTGTCAACCGAGCGACGCAGCATGTTTTGTCGCATTTAGTTCAGATGTAGGATGTCTTCATCTCAGGACATGGGCATTGGCTGGACGGATCTTTGCATTGACAGGCTTCAAGTGTGGGCGGACAAAAGCTGCTTGCACCGCTTTGACCGCTTCAACAACAAGCAACTCGGTGTCATTTCTCCTTTCAAGACCTGAGGCCAAGCTTGTCAGAATGAGACACTTTCATTAACTTTATGACAACAAGCCGACTGGATCCTTCTTTGTTGTAGCTTGCAAGCAGAAATTCGGCACGTGCCTCAAGGTACTCTCCCCTTGGGCAGAACGAGCTGCGCACGATTTTCTTGAAGACGGCACCTTATCCAGATTAGCTTGGCAACCCGAGCGATTAAAAGTTGGACGATGGCCAGAGAAATTCGATCTAGCAACAGAGGTCGTAGAGCCGATACGGGTCTCAGCATCGGATTGCTCTCAGCATGCATCGCTGTGTACTGATTTGAGGGCTTCCAACACGGCAGTGGGCGGACCATGGGGCAGACAAGCTGCCAGAGGGGTTCGCTGAATGAACAGAACATGCAGCTCAGAGGTTGGCCCAAGCCTAGGTTCTTCCATATTCCTCGTGCGCCAATGACCTAAGGACAATGCCGTGGGTGGCCGCTACTTGGCAGAGCTGACGAAGGACATGGGTGAGACGTTTTTGGGTCACTCGCCGTGGCCATTCGTGTAAGGGAAATACACGCTTCACGCTGCAGGTCAAGTCTTGCCCACATCGTGCTTTGAGCTGTCACGGATGTTGTTGGATGCCAGCTCTTGGTCCACTCGCACGAGCCAATTGTGCGCACACGTCCATGGCGGGCGGGTTAGTCCACGGCGGGCGGGATAGCTTTATTTCTTTTCGACGAGTGTGATGTCGATCCAATCCCAGGAGCTGATCTGCGATCTGGAGGAGTCCAAGTATCAGCACGCCGAGTGGCGCCTCTCGATCTACGGACGTGACGTGGCACCGAATGGGAGGCATGCACGAGAATCCAGCCCTAGGGAAGGCTACCCAGATATTTGGGACACGAGTGCATGTATTTCCGAGAAGGGAGGGTGCAAGAATGACTGCAGGCAAGAAGTCTGAGTGGGACAACCTCAGCAAGTGGGTACTCGGTCGTGCTGGCAAAGGCGGAGCCCCCTTGGCCGGGAGGTAGCACTAACACTTTTATCCTAGCCAGTGCCCTCTGAATTGCCATTTGACAATCATAATAGGCACAAATGCCGCATTTGAGAGTCGATTCCAAATCTCAGGGATCCTCCCGAGCAGGCACTGACAAGGCCCTGCTGTCACCCAACATCATGTGGATGATCCAAATCCCGCGGCTGTTCGCATTGCAGCACGGCAGATCTTTGGCAGGGCTTTTTGTGCTGTGCCGAAATTGAAAGCTCACACGCAGGTGCAAGTGCGGGGGCTTTTGAAGGGGCCTTGAGCACGAAGGGTGGATTTGTCCTGCCATTTGCAAGGTACAAATCAACGAACCAGCTGAACAACTTTGGAGAGATGCTGGAGAACATTTTTACTCCCATCTTCGAAGTGTCCTCAGTTGCATGCTCTAGGTTTTTCCGCACACGGGTCACGGTTGATTGGCATGATTGAGTGATGCGCACATGCTGAACGACCGAGAGATCCCGAGATATGTCGGTTGCTCCGGCTGGCTTTGCTTTAACTGCACGGCTCGCACATGCGGACCCGCACCAAGACAAGATCCAACAGCCATAATGGGATATTCTGCTTGAAGCTGCCTGGAATCACACTTTGTTTTTTGCCGTGCCTAAGGAAGCCACATTGTTTCCTGAGAAATATCCGGATGTTGCTGAGTTCCTTCAGCACATCAGCGGCCGGGCTCCCAGCGATCAGCAACATCCAAGCATTTGTTTCTTGCTGAACCATCGGAACCGGAAGGGTACCCAGCATCAACCAGCATCAACCAGCATCAACCAGCATCAACCAGCATCAACCAGCATCAACCAGGATCAACCAGCATCAACCAGCATCAACCAGCATCAACCAGCATCAATCAGCACCGCCACGCTTGGAAGTCTGCTTTCGTTGGGTGACCAGGGAAAGAGTTGCCATGTCTGGGAGGCACCAGCCACGTTTCGAAGTCTGTTTTGCTTGGGGGACCAGGGAACGAGCCGCATTCCGCATGTCCCCAAGCTGTTCGAGGCTTTGATACGGTGGACGACGAGAGTCGCTCCGAGCGGCCCGTGGACCGGACCTTCTCGTCCAAGAGCCGGGCGCCGCCGGAGTGGGACATTGCGGACAATCCGCCGCCCAGCTGCCATTCGAGCGAGAGGCTGTGGTTGTCAAATAGGGAAACCCCAAAATGGGATGTCCTGGTAAATGGGACCAAGGACTGAAACCTGCGGTCCCCTGGTTTGACCCTTGGCCAGTTGGGGGGATGGGCAAGCTGGAAGCCGTTTATCCCAACCTGCTAGGACCTTTAATGGACTCACTTGCCTACAGAACCTGACGTACATTCTTCGTTTGTGGTTCGAATACGGAGCAGGCTCATTGCGATGTATGCTTGAGGATGGGATGAGACTTCACCTGCCGGGTTATTTCAACTTCAGATTGCTCAGTATTTGTTTGCTTGAAGTGAAGACAGATTTGGACACTTTGGGAAGCTTCGTCCTGTCTCGGTGAGGTCGTACAAGTACTACTCCTACTTCATTCAGAGCAACCTGCGCTTGTTGAACATGCTTCGGCATCAGAGCCGCGGCTGGAATTATCACATGGAGGTCCTGGCAGAAGCAGTGAATGCTGTGAAGCAATGCAAACCGCCAAGGAAAGGTCTGAACACTTTTGCGTATCGCCCACACGCCGGAGAGGCGCGCATGGCCCGGCGCATGGCAAGAAGCAGCCTTGGCGTATGGCGCGCATGGCACGCAGCTTTGCAAGCGTTTCGCCTCCCAAGTCAGGCGGGAGAGGTCCATCACTTGGACACCGCCTTCCTGCTAGCGGATGGACTCTCGACCCAGGGAATGTCGGTGCTTTCGGTGGGTTCGGACCGTTGCAGCGTGCGACTTCTGAGGAGTTAATCACGGGCTGAACTTGCGGAAGTCCATGGGTCTGCCATTTGCTCAGATTTGGATGAATTATGCCCGAGTCGTTCCACTTTTAGTGGGGCTAGAGGGATCTCAAGTGAACACTGGTGGCAAGCAAGATGGGAGATGGCTCCAACAAAGTGACCTGCGTGAGGCAATATCTTTTCTACTTAGCGCAAATCGGTCTGGCAATGTCGCCGTGCTCCAACAACCAGCTGTTGCTTGGCAGCAACCACCCATGCTCAACTGCCTGATAGTTGCAACGCGCCATTGGCATCTTTTCCCAGCAAAAACCATTGGGCTAGGAGCCCAGCAGCTTCCGTTTGAGATGTGGGTATGGGTCAAAATTAAACCACCAGAAAACCACACGTTTCAGTCATTGTTTCCATTTACCAGGGTGCCATTTCGGGGCTACCCTATTTCGGACAACCGCAGCCATGTGTTTGGTCGGCCAGCAGACTTCTCACGGCTTAGGTTTTTGGCCTATGAGAAGAGTCCCTTTCCCGTGTACTTCGCGAGGGGCCTGAACGTGTCCTTGTCAACCGATGACCCGCTCATGTTCCACCAAACCAAGGACACTTATGACTGTAACGGTTTGATGCCTGCGAGGTCATAGGCAGAGTTGCCGAGTTGCTACTAGTACTGTATCGCGTTTTTGCGAAGCAGACCACTGTCAAGGAGCCTCTGATGGAGGAGACGCTTGTTGAGCAAGAAGTAAATACTTGGCCAATTTGCTCGCTTGGCAAGCGCTTTCCGGGCTTCTCACGCTAGCCTACCCCAAAGTGATTGGGCTAGAAGTAGTCCAGTCACCTACCTGACTGAGGTACAGCATTGCGAAGCAAATTTGGCACTTTACTTCCGTGGACCTTTGCGAGATTGCCAGAAATTCAGTGCTGCAGAGTGGCTTCCCTGACGAGATCAAGGCCGGAGAACTGAGCAACAGGCTGGCCAGGTGGTGTTCTCACGCTGAGGCGAGCTGGTTTGGAACTACGGACTTTGTGGACGAGAACAAGCCGCCATCCACCAATGTGCCAAACCTGCGGCAGCTAAACAGCATATTTGCAGCATATGGATATGGGTCAAAATCAAACCACTAGGGGACCGCAGGTTTTAGCCCATGTTTCTATTTACCAGGGTTTTATTTTGGGTACCTATTTGTGACCCACACCCAGACCATTCAACAGTCTTCAAGCAAGATTCTTGTTTATCCTTGAGCTCGATGCACACCAGGATAGCCTACAGGAGGCGCACCTACAAGGAAGAGATGAGCTTGCTTGAGGGCTGCGCTACTTGGTGATGCACAGGCTCCAAGAGCCCTTCAGCAATAAAACATTTGAAAGGGCTGCCTTTTTGGCCTGACACGACGTCCACGAAGCTTTCACGATTTCGGGAAGGAAGATCCTGGGAGGTTGATGAGGGACTAGCCAGAGTGTTCAGTGCCGAGTCAAGGCAGACGCCGCTGGGGATGTGGGAGCAATGTGCAATCTTTTGCTGCTCTCACCTTCTAAGCGGCTGGAAGAGTGCCATGGCATGCAGAGCAAAGCATCGGCCTTTGACTCTAAAATACATCGGCCGTGATTTGTCGTGACTCGTGAGCGGGTGTCTCGTGGAGCCCATGACACTCATTGGGACATAGGAACCCGCAGTCCCCCAATTCCCGCTGGGTCACGTTTTACGCCCATCCGCTGATGCGTGAGGGAGCAGCTTTGCGAGTGCTCAGCACCTCGCCGCGAGGTCAGAGCTGCCAAGCTTTGGTTTGGACTCTCCCAGAGCCACTCGGCTGCGAGAGTCCTGGAGCTGGAGATAGCCTTTGTTGTTGCCTCAAGAAGGAAACACCGGTCACCTTCCCGTGATGCCTCATTTGGGTGTAAAGACATGTTGCCACTTGGGGAGGCAGATTGCTTTGCATGTGAAACTTTGCCGTGCTACTGCGTGTTGCGTGATGTTGCGTGTTTTCGCTGCATGATGCATGACCAAGCCCAGATGCGTCCATACCCGGCCTCTTTGCCAGTGCCCGGCGAGGAGAATGTGCCTTTGTTAGCAATGGGTGGAATGCTGTCAACTCAGTGTCACTGTTTTTTTCCAGCCAGCGTGCAAACTTTGTGGATTGAATTGAGCGATCCTCTCTCATGGGCACATGCCATGGTCCAACAAGCTCCTTTGTGGCGTTGAAATGAGTATGGGTCAAAATTAAACCACCAGACCGCAAGTTTAGTCCATGTTGTCACTTATCAGGGTTCCATTTTGGGGTTACCCTACTTGTGACAATCACAGCCAAATGTGCCCAAGCGCCAGGCCCTCGAAGACCTGGGCAGTCTGCTGGACAGCTCTGTGCAGCAAGGCGGCCAAGCGGATCTGGGCGAGCAGGTTGCGCCTGGGCTTAGCGCGGAAGCAGCGCGCTATTCTGGGATGTCCACGTCCATGTTGGTCCCAAAACAATCTTTTCAGTTTTTCCTCGGATGAGCTGGAGCCAAACCAGAATGTGAGCGAGCCTTGTCGGATGTCCAAACGCCTGCTGACTGCTTCGCGGTGTTGCTGAGGATTGGGCAGTACAGCGGAAGCTTGGCTGAAACGAGCATGCCAGGGAAGCTGCATTGTCAGACTGCAACCTAAGCTCATTGGAGTGCTGTTTGATTTGTACCCTGACCGTTCCACAAGCAACTTGGGTCTTGACCGAGGAACAATCACGGTGGCTCGTGCACGAGCATGAGCAAAATGGCCTGCGAGGCCATCCTGGTGTCTAGTTTGCGCTTCAAGCAACGGATATGTTTGTGGCCTCGCATACAGAGCCCCATATTTGAGCTGTCACGCGGCCATGATATTTGTTGTCGCCATAGCCGTGCTCCCCCGCAACCGAGGAAGGACAAACGAGTCGCAAGAAGTCGTCCGAGTTGATCAGCCACAAGTACCTTGGAGACTAACGGCATCGCTTCCGGCAGTTTGCCACATCTCGAGGCTGCTGCCAGGGCCATTGGTTTGTGCGCAACTATATTGAAAGTCAGCCGAGGGGTACAGCAGCTCTGCCGAACGAGCAGAGTGGGTTGATGACCGAAAAGGCGAAGGATGGGACTCAAGTCGACAACTTCTATTCTGTGGCATCGCGTGCATCCGCATGCAGCCTGAACACGCCATGTACACATGTATTTGTGGGCCGCGTGCAGGATGAGCTCCTGAATCGAATAACCGCCGAGATCCGCCACACCCAGCCAAGTCGCGACTCTTTTTCGGCCGTAGGCTGGGCTTGCCCCGGACAATGTCGCCAGCGAGTTTGCATGTCCGGGACAGTCGGAAGTACACGCTTGCAAGCTTGATCTTCAGAGGCATGAATGTCTTGCAAACACTGGCAGGCCTTGCCGCTTTTCTGGGCTCTGTGGGCGGATTTGCTGCTGCGTGGTTCATGCAACACCAGTGATGCAATACTCCCCTTGTCGAGCCTTGGCAGCATAGCCGAGGGACCATGCAGCTTGGATGAATGCTTGCCAGGCTTGTTTCTGGCAATAAAGTTGATTGGGCAATTGCTGAAACAGAGACGTCAGCGATGCCGGTAAGTGATACTCGTATACTCAGTACATGATACAAGTGGCACCTGTGGCTTGAATACTATATTATATTGGTGAGAGTGCTGACGCACGATTTTTGGTTGGTGTTTTTGTATTGGTGCATGATGTTGTTTGCACTGAGGGTGATAGTGGCTTTCCCATCTGTGACTGGCACGCTTTCGAAGCGCTGCGTTTTGGTTGCCCTTCAAGCTGGCAGCGGCATTTTAAGTGGCCAGCCCTCACGGCACCTAGAAAGGCTAGGGCTGCCAGCCTGAGCCAGGTCAAAACATCCTTTGCAGAAGGTCAAGACTGACCAATGACGTTCACCAGAAGCCGTAGGAGGGCCTTTTGCGCATTGCTGCCGCTCAAGAAAGCGCACTTGGGAGCGTCTCCTTCCAACATGTTGATTTCGCCGCTGGGTTTCCCCTCGAATTTTGGAAGCCCAAGCTACACATGACTCTTGGAATGGCGGTGGTTTGAACCGAGGCCTATCTGCGACCAGGGAGTGACTCCTCTTGCTGATCGGGCTGGAGCTCCCAAGACATGACACCCATCAAATGCCAAAGGGCTGAGCTTGGCACATCGATTTTGCGTGGCATCGGTTGACTTGAGAGCTTCGGGATGCTTCTTTTGCGCAGTTTCACTCTTGTTTGCCAGAGATAAACGCGGTGAGTGCGGTCTTCTGCGGCTTGCGTACAGCCGCGATGTGCCTACTCAACCTCAGGTTGGCAGCCAACATGTGTTGCATGCGTTCTCTAGTTGCAGCCACGTGTTGAATCTTGTTTGCCGTGTTGCTCCAAGCATGGACAGGTCCTGTGGCATCAGAGATTTATGCAGAGTTCGCTGCGCATTGCAGGCAGTGGAGGCTGAGCGGCAGCGACGGACTATGGAGGCAGGGGCAGTCGATGTGAACCATCCATTCTCTCTGTCTTGCTTGCGCACAGCCCACTCAACGTTGCGATGGCTACCCTGGACTCATTGCATGATGCATCTTGTGAATTCCAGTTACGTGCTTGAAGACTGAGGCTGGCTTTCTCCAACGTCTCACTGGAGCAGAGCGCCAACGAGACAACTTGCAGGCAATGCTTGTCAAATGTAGGGCTACACATCTGGCCCGGTGTGACAGGCCTCGAGCTAGTCACGCCAGGCTCAGATCAACTATGCAGTTTATGACGTGCAACGAGACAAGGACCTCATGGAGGCCCGCACATAAGGCAGAGCCTGTTTTCGTGCACTGGACATGTCTGGCTTTCTGGCGGTTTGTAAACAGGAGCCAGAAGGAAACACTTGAGTGACAATCAAAACCCGGGTAGATGAAGGTTAGTATGGGGCGATCCCAGCCATCAATAGCTGCGGCCTTCTTACTGCTTGAAGCATGGTTCTGGGATTACAACCATTTTACCGGGTTTTGACTCTGACTCACTTACCCAGTTGCGAGATCCGAGGCGAGGCTGCGTGGGGAGCTGGATGACGCGCAGCACCAGCAAGTGCTGCAGCAGGCCAAGGCCTACGCCTTTGTCCAGGACGCCCAGCGGCAGCGAGAGATTGACCAGGCCCGCGCTTTTGTTTCTCCCAATGCAGCTCGTCGTGGTGAAAGGGGCTAAAAGGGGGGGAGATCAAGATTCTTGTGACCCGGGGTAACTTTTCACATGTAGTGCTGAAAGTCATCTTGGTTGGTGGTTTCCGAATGGTCACCCCTTGTGAAGGACCTGTTGATCAACGCCCAAATGTTTAGAAGGCTAGTCGGTTTGTTCGGGCCACGGAGCCTTGTGAAAGCAGGCCAAACTTTCTGCGGTGCTTCATGATGAGCGAGCACAGCGCAATGTACGCGAGGCTTTGGGCAGTGCAAATGGTGTGCAAAACAGAATTTTGAGAAATCACAGTGGGGTTGAGACAGACAGTTGCTGGCAAGTTTGGAGGGATCAAGCTTCAGAGCAAGGCAGCTGAACACTAGCGCAGGAAGCAGTGTATGCTTTGGACACCTGGCGCAATGCAAGGCCAAACTCCAGGAGAGCTTTCGGAGGCCCGCGACAGCTTGCATTTTCTTGAAGTCGTCACTGCAAAATTAAACCTTCCATGTTGCAGCTTGGCTCAAGTTGCAGACATGGCCAGTGAGAAGATCCTGGATTTCTTCGAGCGCTTTGCTGATGGTCCCGTTGACAAATTCTTGGTGCTAGCCGATGCGAGTGGAGACGGCAAACAGGCAGCGCCACAGGGATTTTGATCAAGGAAACCCTGCGGAAGGCAAGTCATAAGTCTCAAGGCATCTAAGTCATTGTGTAAAGCACCCTTTGTAGGGCTTCTGAAGGAACACAGAAGGTTTGGCATTTGCTGTTCAGCGGCTTTGATATTTGCTCGGGGTTGGATTGGTTGTTCAGAGGACCGGAAAGGGGGTTGCCACCAATTTGTTCTATTCCACAGTAAGGGTCCCCGCTTTGTACACGAATTAGTAGCAGCGCTGCTACTGATGTAGCCCCGACAAGGGTCCCAAAACAACCCCCTCCAACAACGGATTAGTCATAGCCCTGAGTTTGCTTTCGCCCAGAAAGGTTTTGCGGGGCAGACCCTTCGACGAATTCACTGCGGGGAAGGTTCTCAATTGTGCAGAGAGCTGCGGCTCAGCAGGCGCAATTCACCCGCAGACGCGACGAGCTGCGCCCAGTGAAACAAGATGATCGCATGTCTAGATGTGCAGGCTTGGAAAGGAGCACCCCAAGCGGGAGCGCAGCAGCCTATCTTGCAAAGAGTCCTGCCAAAAGATTAGCGCACCCGCTCAAGTCAATTGAGCTGCGCTTAAAGCCCTTGTGTTCATGTTTAGTAAAGGCCTTGCAATAACGGAAGCTAAACATGCAGGCGCGGAAGCGCGTACAAGCATGTTGTTACGAGTACCCTTGGGTAAGCTGCGCGTAAGCATTTTGTACTGAAAAGTTGCAACTTTTGAGGCGGAACTCGAATCTCCATACTTTGTCACAGTGCTGGCCATTTTGGAGGTGTCAGGCTGCGCTAGAAACGAGCACCCCGAACAGGAATGCAGCAGCCTATCTTGTCAAGAGTCCTGCCAAAGGATTAGCGCGCCGGCTCAATGGTGGCTAGCATTGAGCGCAGGCCAGCGGCAGCCCCGTTCGGCAATACTTTGACCCGCTCCGGAGCGGCCCCTCAGCACTGCGCAGGACTGCCAAATGATCAGGGCACCCGCTCCAGAGCGTGGAACCTATCAAACACATTTGCTCCGACAACCCCCGATCACTGCACGCATGCCTGCCAAGTTGCAACGGCGAGCACTGCACCTTTGGTCTGCCAACGAGGTCTGCCAAACTATAAGCACACACATGTACAGCGCGTCTGCCCAACGCTCATGCCGCCGCGCCTACCCATGGCAAGCACCAGCTCAAGGAGGCTCCTTTCCTAAGCGCACGCATCACAGGTTCAATCCCGCAGCGAAGCGCAGCTTAGCTTCAGCCTTGATAAGGTGCCCCGGGGCTTCGCAGGGTAGCTTCACAGCTTCGCCTGAAGCCAACACAGCTTCTCTTTTCAACCCATCAACGCAACACATCACAGCTTCGCATCTTCGCTGTTTAACGCCCAAGCCGTCTCATGTCGTTTCCGAACCTGCTCTGCCACCGCTGGCAACAAATTTGAGGTTGCCGCTAAGCAGTTTCCTTGACTTCTGAACAACCGGGTCGCTCCAAAACACACATGTTTTTCAAAATCCTCACGGAAGCTCCTCAAAAGCGATGATTGGGTCAGTTAGACACCCAGAACCCTTTAGAAGATTCGTCGGACGACTTCCCCCATACCTATTCCAATTGGAGCTTCAGCTTTCTTTCCGTCTAAACGAGGATCTGATCGTGCGAGCCTGCTGCACCACCTGGGCTGGGCTCCTACAAGTATTGCCAGCGTGTGGTCCAAGATAGTCTGGTGGATTTTTGCTTTAGTGGTGTGCACGACCATACGGTGACCTCTAGCTGTGGGTGAAGCTCGTACTGCTGCGCACGCAACCAGCAGCTGCTCTTTTACTGTAGCAAGTGGACCCAGTGGGCGGTTTTTCCTCGCTTCAGCAAAAGAGCAAACATCCGCATCAAGACCGAGAGATCAGCTCACAAACCGGGTGAAGGTGCGATGTGGGTAGTTTGGAAGAAGAAGAAAGGAGGACGAAGAGCTGGGTGAACGAGCCCCAAATTACATGTACCTTCAAAACAACAGCAGCGGAGTTGTCGCCCATCATCATGGCGGTGGAGTGTCCCTGGGCTCTGGGGGTCTTCAAGAAGAGAGAAGAAATGAAGGATGGCCGTCCGGTGTACTACAGCTCAGCAACGAATCTGCAAATTGACTATGACCAAGAGAAGCAACGATGGTACTCGACGGCCTCTTGATGACGGCGGCGAGAAAAAGACATCACGCTGCATGAGCAGCGCTGAGACTGCAGGCTTCTCACCGGATAGGGCTACCTGGGAATCCAGGGCAACCCCTTTTCTGCATTGCTGACGCAGAGTACAAGCCTGCGAAGGTTGGAAGGACCCTGATTTCCCACATGATATGTCCAGCATCGGTGAAGAGCGGGAGCAGAATGGGAGTGGACGCGGAGGATTGCGTTTGGATCAGGGCCATTCACTTGACTCCAGACGCAACACCCTGGGCTGATGGACCTTTGATGCCGGGAGACCAAGGAAATCTGGATGATTGTGGCTTAACTGCCGCGATCGCAGCTGTTTCCCAGTTTCTCGACTTCGTGAAAGAGAGCAAAAAGGTGTCCACCAACGTTGGCTTGTGTTGGCGACACTGCTTTCGGTGCTAAAACGTGCCTTTGAGCTTGCTACCTTTGAGCTTTGGAGTGCGATTCTAAGAGCATGCCTGCCAGGCAGCACGTGCTGGCTCAACAGAGCCATGTGGAGCGCCGCGCTCAGATCAAAAGAGTATTCTCCCCACCAACCGTTGCTAATACTTCTTCGTGCGAGCCTTGAAGCCCCGACAGTTTGCTTCACTGAAGCGCGCCCTCTTGGCGGTCGAAGTTCGAAAGTCTTGCGAGTTGCGCTTTTCCCAAGTCCCCTCGTTCTGAGCCAGACGCATCCAATCGTTCTGAGCTCCGTAGGCTGGGAGACGAGCTGCGGCATGTGAAGATGGAGCTTGACGAGGTACGCACCTGTCCCCCCTTTTAAGCAGTCACACGTCTCGTGGTTTGATATGGATTGGCATCTTTATGGCGACATCAGGAAGAGCTGCTCTCAGAGGAACAGCGCACTCTCACGCGCACAAGAGCCAACACACCTCAAACAGGAGGCGGAACTTAGACTCAACACCTCGGGGCATGGGTGTTGGAAGGTGCAGAACTGTTGGGACCTGTGGATTCCTTGGTCTCTCCACAAGTTGTGCCTGGGCTGCGAGCACTCAATCCAAATTGCGTGCAGTCTCGAATGTGGGCATGCTACAATGGACGAGCTCGGGCACAGGAAGCCTTCGCAACTAAAAATGCTTTCAGCTGGGTTGGGAGCAGTGATCCATGCGGATCGCGTCAGACATCTTTCTTAGGAGCGGCGGCGCGTGACTGCGCTGCAGCAGCAGTTGGACACCGCGCAGGCCGCGTTGGGATGCTCCATGTGCCTTTGCCGCCCTTGGCCGAAGCCAAACAGCATCCTCATGTATACCCAGGTCAAATTTATCTTGAGCGATTTCGTCCAACGTCGTTTTTGCTTTGAACTCCAAGCCAACGGGGTGGAGTTCTCCAAGAGATTCCCGGACGCACAGGCAGAGCTGGTGAAGGAGCATGGCAGGGCCTTCGATCTGAAGGCCAAAGTGATACCCCGTGAGATGCTTTTGACACCCATTGGTGGAGGACAAGAGGAATGCATGTTTTTGTTGTGGTTGTGTGTTTTTTCCTCCTGGAATCCCATGGACGTAGGGAGACACGTGGTCAGCAACCATTGCAGCCATTGCACCTCGTTCAGAAGGGCCAATTCCTCTGTGCACAGACAGACTGGCCAGAATTGTTACATGAGTTCTTCAGGCAGCGCTGGAGAACTTGAAGACGCTTAAGGCCTGCAAGTGGGCCATGTTATCCTTCCAGGAATGAGATAAGCTAGCAGACATGCTTGAATTTACTTGCACGACACTATCGAAGTGTGACATGGCATATGCCGTTTCAGCTGTCATTGCTGTTGTCAGGGTGTACGGCGTTTGCCAGGAGCTACGCGATGCGGAAGAGCGACGGCGAATTGAAACGGAGGCAGGGTTTTGCATCTAGTGGCGTTGACAGGGAGTGTGTTGGCATTGGCAGCTGCAAAGATGCTTTACCAGATGTGGCCAAAGCGAATTGTGTAAGCAGTGATTGCAAGATGAGTCAAACATCAGCTGCCCGCGCTTCCATGAGATCCTCCTTGGAATTAGTTGCCGGGATCATGCCGGGATCAGGCTAGACTGAACAATCTGTGGCTAAACGCCAAAACCAACTCGATGCGAGGGTCTTCACAGAAAAGTAGCTTGCTGCTTGTTTCGGTTGTCGCCTGCTGTCGTGGGGAAGTGAGGAGGTGGAGTTGCAGGGGAACAACTCAGTGTCGGCAAGCCGGTCTCGACACATTGCAGGAAAGCCGGCAGGCATTGCTCCTGCACGTTCAGGAGGCCAGACCCCGACTTGGTGCGTTCAGGCATTGAGGTTAGCAACCTTTGCTAGCAGGAGGTATCCAATCACAAAGTCACTGCGTTTCAAGCGCTGGGTGCATCTGACCGCGAGAGAGTGAGGCTCCGACCGCAGCTGTTTCAACTAAACTCTAGGGGCAACCCTTCCCCAGGTCCAGTCCTGGCGGTCCTGCCATGGCAGAGATCTCAGAGGAGACTCCTCTGGGCGGCCAGCAGGATAGCCATCTGGTGCTTGCGACATGCCAGTTTGACTGAGGACACTCCTTTTGCCTGTCAGTAACAGTCTGGCAGGAGCTTGCAGGTATCCAAGAAACCTCCGTGCGACATGGCTTCGTGCGGAAAGTGTACAGTATTTTGGGCTTCCAGCTTCTTATGACCACAGTCATCGCAGGATCGACGCTCAGCAAGACAGAAGAATTGGCCATGAGGAGTCAGTAGTTTTTCTCAGCCACAGTCTTCCAAGTCTACAATGCTGGTGTTGATGTTTGGGCATCCATATTCACACGACACCTCTGGCGTGTATATCAGGTGAGTATCAAAGCTCTTGCCTGGGAAAGTGAGCCCTTCCAAATTCCACCGTCAACCACCAGGTTCCACTCAACTGAAGACTGGTGCTGCATCCAAGGATCATGAAGTATGGAGAGAAGCTGAAAAGAGAGAATCCAGCAATAATTGTGTGCTGTCCTCAGCAAGGGTTTTGACACAAGCTCGGTTGATGTCAGCTGATTTCTGCTCGAGTAATTTTAGACGGACACCGGAACACAGCATGCGGAGGGCATTGGCGAGTCTGAGTCGCTGGCCATGGTCTTGTTAGTTTTGCACGGCGCAGGCATTACAGTTCCAACGGTGAGACTTAAACCGGCGGTACTGTCAAGGAACTGCCACATGAACTGGAGGCGCACCAGCCATTGCCAAGGACTTTGGTTGTCGTGTCCTCTTTCGCCACCCTGGGTATGATGTTTGTCTTCATGTGCTGTCCCGAGCTCAGGCAAAGCCCAATCGAAAAGGCCTGATTACATCCATTTGCTTAATAACATTTTGTATTTTCCCTTGCTGGTTTTAAAGTGGATATATTTTCTTATTTTTCCAGGGGGCTTAAGCAAAAGGCCTGGTTAAGAGCAGCTGGAGCTTGAGGTCCTGCCGTCATGAGAAAGACCCCGCAGAACTATGGGCTGCTAGTGCTCTTCACGCTGGCAGAGCCTTGGATGCAAGCGGGCGGTTGGTCTCCCTGTCTCGATCACTGGTAGCTGAACTTTGCTGGCTTTCTAATCGCCAGTTTCGGAGGATTTGCGAAGATGGCGATAATAGATGTGATCATTGCTTCCCCCCTACAACTAAATTCAATGAAGCAATGAATACGCTCCCCCAAATGATACATATGCTTGTAGGATAATCTATTCATGAGGGTCCAGAAGCTCCCAAAATTGCGGTAGGGTGGGCTTCTGTACCTACCGTTGCCTGACAGCCTGCGATGATGCAAGGAGTCGGTGATGGTCGGCTTTATTTGCGTGCAGTACACAGCCTGCCTCTCATTTGAGCCACGTGTTTATCTGACAAATTGCACGCCATAGGATTTTGTTTTGATACACGATGCCTCGCTCTCGAGGCGCAGTCCGTGCTGGTCACCTTTGCAATCACCGCAGTGGTAGTGCTGGCGCTGACTCTGTACTCATGCCAAACAAAGTATGACTTCACAGGCTGGTGAGGGAGCGCTGCAGTGCACTGCAAACCGATGCTCATTGTGCAATGTGATGAGGCAGAGTAGGATTCAGGCTTCAGAGAAATCTGTGGGAGAAATCTAGTTTTTTGGATGGGACAGAAGGTAGTTGAAAACCCAGGAGGCTTGCCTAGTATTTTTCTTAGCTGTTCGTAGCTTTTATTGGTTTTTGCTGGGGGCGTTCCCTAGCTTCTCAGCTGTAGCTGGCTTTTGCAAGGTGGCTTTAGTAGCTCGAGGGTTTGTTGTTTGCTGAAGCCGCCATTGCGGCCGTCACTGAAACACAAATGATTGTTGAGCTGGTCCAGCGCAGGCTTGATGCCATACTTCTTCGTGTTCTCCCTCGTGCTGTGTGGCCGCTTGCCCAAGCAGATATCATGCCACACAGGAATACCATCGACCTGCTGGATCCTAGATTTGTTTGTGACAAAGTTATGTCTTACTTCTTGCATCAGGATGAAAATAATCCACTTATTTGTGCAGTGGACGGGCGCAAGCGTGATTTGATCCATTTGGCTGTGGGTCAAAACCAATGGTACCATTTTGAGGCAGAGGTGCACCACCCATTTTTAGTCTATGTTTTTTTGGGGATTGGGATGTTCACTGGCTACGATTTGGCTTTTGACCCATGGCCGTTTGGCTTGGCCGGGTTTTGGGGGGCTCGGAAGGCCTCGGCTTGGCGCTGAGCATCGCCGCGATGTGCGGCGCCAGCCAGAACGGCGCCTTCAGGACGAGTCTCAGAGTGGCCGAGTCATGGGATTTCCTGGTCTTGGGCTTCATTCCGAGATGTTGCAACCCTCAGGAGCATGTACCTCATGTATGCAGCGCTCGGAGCGCTTCTGTTCTCAGGTGGGGGTGTTGGATTGCTTGCGAGTCACCATTGAAGATGGCTAGCCTTCAACACAGTTGTTAGCAGAATCCACGGGAAAGCTCATTGCCGCAGTCATTTGGTGGGATGGACATCAGT